AGTGATTTTGACCAATTAATCTCATAACAATACTTTTGAAAAAAGATTCTCTGTAATTCTCTTCAATAAATATCATAAAATTGATCAAAGTAATCTTCTTAGGTCAATATTTGCAACAAACTCAATTCAACAAATTTATTTAGGACATATATCATGAGATTTATTTTTGCAAAAGAGTATAAAATAAATCTAATCTCTATAATAATCAATCTACAAATTGTGCAAATACCAATAAATGCATATTTGTTATACATATGTAGTAAAAAAATTTGTATATGTGTGAGACAGGTTTTTAAATCATACAGTCAAACTCTGAAAAACATATGTGTTGAAACCACGCAAATATATTACAATTTTTATTTTTTTCTAAAAGAATTATGAATTCAAAAATGACTTTTTATTTTGGTCATGTAGGAGTTAGCAGGATTTTTATATTTAATATATGGACACAAATTTATATTCTACTATATACACATTCTAATTTAAAAATTTTGATGCCTTAATTTATTACCATATTTGGAATTTAATTCTGGATAAATCATATATTTTACCTTAAGCAGTGCAGCGAATAAAGATTTTAAAATGTAGCACAATTTTTTATGCGTAATTTTACAAATGGTAAATGATAATTTTGATTTCTAATGTTTTAAAGTGGTTCTTATTTCATCAACTTGTGACAAACCTATACGGAACTTTATCACTAACCTTCTGAGTCGTCTTTTTTAGGGAAATTTAATTCCCCTACCTATTTCCAATCAGCTCCAATAAGAGGACAGGATTCCTTGTTATGCAGATTAGATAAAGTATTTAAGTCAAACGGAATAGTAAAGTAAAAAAGCAGTAGGAGAGAGAGATTGAAGCAGGAAGGTATGATAGTGAAGTTGGAGATTTATTATTGACGATTTCTAGGAGGATAAAATCTCAGAAAAAAGCTGAGCTGAACTGCAGTGTGGTAAATATTGATTTATATTTAAAGTCTCATTAAAGTTTTATATTAGGAGTGAGATTAAAGTTAAATGTTCAATAGGAACATTATTGAATATAAATCTGGGATCTCTTATCGCGGTAATCTCTGCGTGATCGATATTCTAATTGTTAATTAATTGGATCATTAGATATTTAAGTTAATTTAAAGGAAAGTCTCTTTTAAACCTCATATAGCTAATTTGATTTATTTGTTATTAAAAGTCTTTGATTCTATTTGGGAAAAATAACCAAATAAAGGAAGTTATTTATAAAAATGGCTACTGGCTCTTATCTGACTCCAAATTATTCTCGTTCTCAAAGTGAGATCCAAGGGGATCTTCACAAACTAGTATAAACATTAACAGAGCTGTAATAAAGTAAGATTTTTTTCTTTTTCCTTGTAATATTGTAAAATTACTAAGTAAAATAAGTTTTATAAATATATATACTTCTTTTTGATATATGCATGGTTACATATCAGATTCTTGTGTTCTAATTTTAGATAATTAAATGCTGAAGTACCTCTGTTAACTACTCTAAAGATGTGTAAAATAAGTAAAATTTAAGTTAACTAAACATAATATGTTCTCAATATAACTTGATATAAAACAAACAAATATTTGCTTTTAAATATTTACATTCTTGTAGAAGTAAGTCTACATCTATCCAAAATCCTTTTTGAAGAAGTTTCATTTGTCTTACGGTGTTGAAAACATTATTCAAAGAGTGGTCAAACATATAAACACTGGGAAGATGGTATATAATCCTCACGCTTCATCATGCTATCAAAATACTTAGATTTGTTAAAATGATATTAAAAAATGATTTTTCTTTCTAATTATACTTTCTAAAGGGTGTTGTTTTAGAGGTATAGAACTTTAAATTGCAATAAAACAACGATGTATTATTCGATTGACATTAATTTTTTTTCATTCGAAAGATAATCTTGTGGCATTACATTTTAAATATGATTTCTGGCATAGAACTGCCACAGCTGGCTCGGATGTAGTCCAATCTGGACGTCAAACTTTCGATGACTTTTTCCAACATTTGTGGCCGTATATCGGCAATAACACGGCGGATGTTGTTTTCCAAATGGTCAAGCGTTTGTGGATTATCCGCATAGACCAATGACTTTACATAGCCCCACAGAAAATAGTCTAGCGGTGTTAAATCACAAGATCTTGGAGGCCAATTCACAGGTCCAAAACGGGAAATTAGGCGGTCACCAAACGTGTCTTTCAATAAATCGATTGTGGCACGAGCTGTGTGACATGTCTTGTTGGAACCACAGCTCCTGCACATCATGATTGTTCAATTCAGGAATGAAAAAGTTAGTAATCATGGCTCTATACCGATCACCATTGACTGTAACGTTGTGGCCTTCATCGTTTTTGAAGAAGGATTCCACCAGCCCATAAAGCGCACCAAACAGTCAGTTTTTCTGGATGTAACGGTGTTTCGACATACACTCTCGTGGATTAGCTTCACTCCAAATGCGGCCGTTTTGTTTGTTGACGTAGCCATTCAACCAGAAGTGCGCTTCATCGCTAAACAAAATTCGCTTATGAAAATTGGGAACAACGGCAATCTCGTTTTGGGCCCATTCGACGAATCTACGCCTTGCTTGATGATCGTTTTGATGAATTGCCAAACCAAACTGAGAATAAATCACTTGACAGCTGTTAAATCGGTCGCCATCTTGGAAAGTAATGCCAACTTAAACTTATATACCTGAAAAAAAAACACTCTTTATAACTGATCGAGCAACCATTTCAGCAAAATAAGATATTTTAGAAAGTAAAATGTAAATCTTTAAGAACAAAATAATCTTACACAATAGTAAACAAACGACGCCATATTCACCGGTTGACGAATTCACGTGATCGTGACGTCACATGAATTTAGTCCATTAAGTGTCTCTTTAAAAATAATGTTCCTAATTACCTTTTCTTCTAAACTGCACTGAATTTTTATTCCGTCTTTGCTTCTGCACCTTGACAGAGCCACATAGAATATTATCCATGAATAAATAGTGTTCACTTCGATGTTGGACATAAACCAACTTTTCAAAACTCTTCCTATGATTTATTAATAATCATATCAAATGCAAATCTTAAAGGGAATAGCATATCCAAGTCCCTTATAAACCTCTTTTTAAAATAAGAAAAGTAAAATGCTGAAAAAGCGGTTATCTTGGAGACCCATTTCCTTTTTCAGCACGTGAAATGAATAGGAAGAAAAAGATACCGAACTGTTTATTTACATGGATATATATCTGAAAGTGGGTAGGTGTTTCCAGACTTATGAATGAGCATGTTTTCCAGTTCTTGAATAATAATGAATAACTTAACTTTGAATCTTTATATCAAATGCAAACATCAGCAGTCAAACCTGGTTAAAAAAAAGGATTTGATATTTGCATCCAATTTGATACACTTCGAAAACATATAACCACAATCATCCTTATTTTAATATTCTTGCATCTGTACACACATTTATTATTATCCTTCAGAATAAATTATTTCCCCCCATCTGGCTTTGATAAAAATTAGACCATTCTCTCCCATCAAATATATTCATATTTAATATGCTCCAGTTACGATCAATTCCTTGTTCGCCACCAACTAAACAGATACTTTGTTATGGTGTTCCGAAGTAATCCCTGTCTCTCTTTATTAACATGTTAATAGAAAATATACTAGATACCATATTCTCGGCCCGATTCAAGGCCAGAGACAAATTGATTTTTGATCAAAAACAGAACCGCGTCTGGAGGGAAGTTTGATAATTAGGAAGTAATGTAACATTTGATACATTTATAAACATCAAAACGTACTTTCATCTTTTTATTTTGAATGATACGTAGTAATTCAAAGGTTTTAATTAAGCGTTTGTATATGTAATTGAATTTACGTGCGAAGGAACATTTCTGTATGGTTTATAAAAAAGTTTCTTCTGTTGCGAAAAAGAGATTTTCGAACGAACTCTTATGATAAAATAATTATTGAAGTACTTCTGAGAATTACACATGTGTTTGCTTGTTTAATGAACAGTAAGGGGGAAAAATGTAAATAATGTAGACTATTTCTGAATTATGTGTGAGCACGTTTTGAAATAGAATGAGAAAAATCTATATAATTCAATAATTTTTGTTGTGTTTCTAGGTATATTATAATTAAGCTTCAGATTTTTTTTGTGTGTGGAACGAATTAGGGTTGATTATATACGATGTAATGATTCTCTTTTCGCATTAGTGTTTTAAGATAGGATGGTCAAGAAGTGGCCAACAAAAGTTTTTTTCTAACCCGCCAAGACAGTAAGAAAATTCGCCTTGAAGCGTGATTTCTTTCCAGTGCGTGACTTAAGATTCGTCTCGTAATTTCCATTGGGATGGCAAGTCAACACGCATGCGTGAACCAAACTTGTATAACAAGTATTAATAAAGTAAAAAAAAAATAACTATAAAACCGGGTATAAAATCTGCTGATAACATGTGCTGAGCACTGTTACCTTCTGGGCAACCAAAATGAGTCTATATCCTCACCCACCTTCGACCAATCAAATAGCAGTCTCTCGGCTCTCACCAAAGCAAAAATTTCTTCTACTAACATCCAGAACAAACTATTAGGCACTCCTCCCTGATCTCATCGCAACAACCAATCACCGTGATGTCTCTCCACAGACTGAAAACCGACATTCGTCGCCTTTCACATCAAAGACTGTCGAGTATGGGATTGAGAACTGCTTTGCAGTCCAGATTTCCAAAAATAAACCAGTATCAACCGCTGCTGATCACCGTCGGACGTAGTTGGTGATCTATATTTAGCTGAATACATGTTGACATATTTTATAATGTAGTTAAAATTGTCCAATCAGAATAATATTCAAAGGTTACAAGCAATCTCACTCATGGTTTAAAGACATTGTACAAAAATGTTATATTAGTGTCATAAAACTGATTCTAAAATTAAATATACCAGCAGTTACAAATGAAATGAAATTAACTCAATAATTTTTACATTACAATTTATGTCTTTTCTGGTCACCTATCATGTGTAGTGGTTAGTGACGCTGTCTGCTGTGCTGTAGAGCCCGGGTTTGAATCCCGGAGAAGACATATATGTTTGGAATGTATAGTGCCTTCGGGAGATGGGGTACTCTAAATAGCCGGAGAGCCGCAAGTCCTCTCGTGAGGTTGATGGAAGGGGAAGAGAGGTGGGAGACCCCTGACCACCTTCAGGGCGTTCTCCCTCAAAACTGGGGTGGAACTGAGCCAAAACGTACCTGTATGGTGCTCAAAGCTACGAATAACGACAGACATACATCTAGTTCTTTGCCTCGATGAATTTCGTGGGCCTCAATCTGAATCCGTCAGACAGCTGGCATTAGCAACAACAACAACATGTCTTTTCTGAAATGCAAAACTAACTAATGAATGCAAAAACGTTTAAAAAAAGGCGTGGATCTCTGCTATTCTCCGCTACGATAATGTGGCCCTGGAGCCACAAAACAAGGTGCCCACTCCTGATTTAAGGTATCCGACTACGTTCGGAACCGTGATTTTCAAAAGCGCATAAATGGATAATTTTCATGATATTTAGTGTCACTCAGATTAGAATATATGCATAAAATTGTTTTAAGGACATTTTGAAAAAAGAAATTATTTAAATACAATATTTTGGCAAAAAATTAACTTAGAATAATCTTTCTTCCAAGTGTTCTCCTTTTGTGAAAAATGCATCTATTAGAATAATATTTTGCCTGTATATAGCTCAGACCTCTGTTCAGAGGCTCAACTAGAATTTTTGAAATATATAACTTAGAAGTGGGTTTATTCATAATTTACGACAACAGATGGGAGCAATTTTAAGAAAAATACGCGAATAATTATTTCAATTGGTGGTAACTCTGAAAATAATGTGGATTTTTTCAAAAATTCTAGTTAAGCCTCTGTAGAGAGGTCTGAGCTATATACAGGCAAAATGTTATTGTAATAGAACCATGTTTCACAAAAGGAGAACATTTGGAAAAAAGATTATTCTGAGTTAATTTTTTGCCAAAATATTATATTCAAATAAATTATTTTTGTCAAAATGTCCTTAAAACAATTTTATGCATGTCTTCTAATCTGAGTGACACTAAATATCATGAAAATTTTCCATTTATGCGCTTTTTTAAAATAACGGTTCCGAACGTAGTCGGATACCTTAAATAATTAATATGTTTAAATGTTGTTATTCCTTTTGATTATGTAATTTTTATTTATTCAATAATTTTGAGAAGACATAATTATTTTTAGCATAATTATCAATCATAATCATGATTTTTTTAATTATACTTCATTTTTCGGAATGTTTAATTTGTTAATAGTATATATACTTATATAAATAAAATATCAGTCTTTTAGGTTTTAAAATTCCCTTTTCTTTTATTTATAGGAATTTAAATTGTGCAAGATTGACAATACTTGAGGGGCCGCATGTAAAGATTAAGCGTAGAAAAACTATTATTATTATTTTTTTGGAATGTGTTCTTTTTAGCAAATATCGATTGATAATTAGAAACATATTCCGATTTTATTTTAAAAAATGATTTCTCATTTTTCTTATTTAAAAACTGAAAAATAGGTAGCATTATCAGTTCGTGTATAAGTTGAAGTTTATAATTTGAGGAAAAGAAATAAGTTTGAATTAATAGGATATGTAAAGTCCTGAAAGATGTTTGCAGATAGTTATATGAGCCGCTCAGAAGCCAATGCGTTTAAGTCAATTTTTTGATATTTTCTGATTTTTGTAAATTTTGATAAAATAAACAATATTCTTCTTAGTTATTAAAGGTTTTACTTGTTGTTTCCTTTTTTCTATGACTTTGAAAAAAAGAAGAAATGAGTAAATTCTTGTATGGACAATGTTGCTCCAGGACAGTTTGGCCAGGCATCTTTGAATACAGAGATTGACAGATTAGTTTTAAAATATTGAAAAAGAAGACAAGTAGGAGGACACTTTTTGAGGAAGGCCAGGACCTATAAAAGCAGGACTGTCCTCCTTAAAGGAGGATGATTGCTCACCTTATTATTAAATACGAAATATTGAAATGTTTAATTACGTAATTTGTTATTATAAGCATTGTTCATTGATAAAGAAGAGTTAATGCATCATTCTGCAAATTTTTAAATCTCTCATTTGAAAAGATTTTGAAGAGAAATTATATTTAAAATGTGCATTAGTTTCTCTTTTTGCACTTGAAAGCATGAATGGTGTTAATGGGGAAAAGTGATAATGGGTTTGACTTCTAATTTCATCAAGAAATATAGAGCGTAATAATAAAAGATGCTTCTCATTGCAAATTTTATAGGATCTGGCAATCTTTGTATTGCAGAATGTATTATTTTAAGTATTTTTTAATTACTTAATAAATAATTAATTAAATTAATTAAATAATTAATTAAATTAATTAATATTATTAATTAAATAATACTAATATTTCCGAGTTAGATACCCAGACTTATTTGGTATCGGGATATGCTTGAATGAGAAAAATAGCAAAATTTAGACTTTTTATTTTTGTGAGATATTATGTTCTTTTTTAAATATCTAATAGAGCTTCGATTTTTTTTGTATAACTGACTAATAATATTTTAATTATTCTTCAGAATAGAGAAATTTTTTTTTGTATAAAAGTTTTGAACATGGGCATAATTTTTGACATCTCTTAATATATATTTTCATTTAGGTACCGTTTTTTATAAAAAGTATTTCTTAAATATATAAAATATTTCATACGCTTATCTAGAGTAATGTCCCAAACATACTGAACCAACATTTTTAGTAAAATCCTTGTACAGTTTATTTAAAAAAATTGTAAAATTTGGAATTGTGTAGAATTTTTTATTATTTTTTTATACATAAAACTATTTTTTTTTTTAAATTCCGACATTTAGTGAAGCTATTTTATGCAGAGAAAATTTTTGACATTGCGTTATATATACATTCAAGTACCATTTTATTAAAATATTTTTTTTAAATGTATAGAATGTTTTACACGCTTATATAAAAAAACGAGCAAAACTTATTGAGTAAACTTTTTAGTAAAATTTTAGTACAATTTCTTAAAAAAATTGTCGTATTTAGAAATTTAACAAAACAAAGAACAAAAAGCTTCAGAATTTCTAAGTACTACAATTTTTTTAAGAAATTGTACTAAAATTTTACTAAAAAAGTTTACTTAATAAGTTTTACTCGTTTTTTTATAAACGCGTGTAAAGCATTCTATATATTTAAAAAATACTTTAATAAAATGGTACTTGAACATATATATATATAACGAAATGTCAAAAATTTTCTCTACATAAAATATTTTCTCTAAATGTCGGATCTTTAAAAATTATAAAATGGTTTGCCTCTAATACCAAACAGTTAAACTCTAATGTGAGAATATGGATCATTTGGATTGATATGGCATTAGTGGGAGTTATGAGCAATATATAGGATTGGTGATTGTTGTAGGAAATATGAGAAATCGTTCAGAAATTGAGAATTGAAGTAGTGATAGGATGGATGCTCTTGGGTGAGTTTTTGATGAATTACGCTATTCATTTGTGAATATACTGGGTTTTTAATTTGAACTTTCAGATTTTAAATATTTTTTCTTCTTATACGATTATTAAAGATGGGTGCATCATCTTTGGTGTTCGATGACTCAATTATATTGTGCATTTAATTATTTTAGAGTTTTAACATTTTAATGTTATAATATATCTTTCGGAATGCGATGGCAAATAGTTTAATTATTTAAGTATTAACTTTTTAAATTTCCTTAGCGCCTTTCCAGGGTCCGTGAAGGTCTATAATTTAATGTAGAGATTTCTCTCTCTCTCCCTCTTTTACAGAACTGAAAGATCTCGCGAAAAAATTGAGATATGCGTTGACCTAGATTATATCACTAAATTTACCCAATGAAAAGCTATTAAAACGTATTTCAACCACGAATATTGATTCAGCTTTTCCAAACTACTTATTTATATCGAAGAACGCATTTTCAGATCTTTATATGAAAAATAAGAAAAGAAACCGTCTAAAAAGCGTAGAACAGGAACTGCGATTGCAAATTTCAAATATTCTACACCTGATATAACAGCACTTGTAAACAAAAAACGCGGTACTATCCTTCTCTTTAAGAATTTTAATTAACACATTTTATTGCATTACTTATTTGAAATTAGTATTTTGCAAAAATTTTTATTAAATGTTTACTGCTATTTTAAAGAAAAAAAGTGTTAAAAGGTCTGCATAAGTAGCAGGGGCAGTTTTAGAACTATTGAAGAGCCTTTGAATGATCCAGCTAGGAGTTGGGAGTCAGAAAGGAGTGTTCAAAATCTTGAGAGATCCGCGATGTCAGGCGGACGCATAAATGAGGTGTGTGACGGGCTCACGCGTCTTTCCATTGACATGTCCTTTGGGTTCTTTGGGGCCAGAATTAATGGCAACTCTTTTCCAACGAAACCCAAGAAGTGAAACATGAATGAAATAAGCAAATTAGGAAGCTTTTAAATATCAGAAGTTAGAGTAAGCGGTGTGGCAATTTGGGGAATGTTCTGATAGTCCGTGATTCAAGCGTGAAGAGGTTTTGTAAGGTATAGGGACAGCCAACAGAAGTTGTCCGTGGCAGAGAGCCCTTAGGTCAAGGTGCATACCATTGCATTCCAGTAAACCGCAACTTCAACTAGGATCAGATTGATCGCTACTTCGTTCGACTTTAAGGTAGGAGTGACTATTCAATATTCGGATTTGTGATACTATTGGAATTGAGTTTAGGCGAGTTAGGTATTGATAGTGGTCCGGGTTACGTTATTTCGGTATTATATATATATTGTGTGTTTAGCCACCATAGATTCTCTCACATGTATTATTATTATCTAATCTGTTAGAAGTTTAAGTTTTAAGATCTTAATAAAGTCAAATTAAGATCATGGCAGCTTCTAGTTCTTCCGTTATTCTTACACCTCTAGCTCACGCTGATAATCAAGGAGAAGGGCACCCGAGGGGGGCCCCTTTACAGGGGGAGGGATTTATAGTTTAAAAGTGGTCTCAGTGGTGTTAATTTTGTCTCGACAGCTAA